ATAATTTACTTATTTATTAACACTATAATAATGACCATAACAATAATGATGACAATAATAATCTTATTTACTAATAGGTAATTACTAACTAATAATTTACTAATTTAATAATACAATAATAGTAATAATAATAATAATAAGGATAGTAAACTTATTTATTAATAGGGAATTACTAAAGAATAATTTACTTATTTATTAATTCTGTCCTGTTATGTGTGCTCATCCATCTCTACTTATATATCCATAATTTGTACTTATACAGATGATCAATATATGTATCCATATATATATTTTTTTTTCCATGTATATATATACTTACATATCCATCTGTCTAATTTAAACACTACATATAATTCCTTACACAACTCATAAAAGCACCATTTGTTACTTACACATCCTGTATTTAAAATCCTCATGGACATGCAGTTCTTTCCCTTTAGAAAGCCACAAAAATATAATTTGCTGGTTTTTTTCCCCCCTCAATTTCTGCTGCTGGATTTTCGTACCTGCAGCCGCTCACAGCAGTGATGATGAACCACCAACTTTTATTAAAACGAGCGATTTTTGAATTACCATGGAATTTTGGGTTTCCTTGCAGGAATTTTTGTGGATGCTGTGAATTCCATGGGCCAGACCTGTCTGTTCACTGCTGCACTGCTGGGGCTGGGTAAAATAGTGGATGTGCTGCTGGAATACGGCTCGGATGCCAATCAGTTAAGTATCAAACTTTTTTTAAAATTAAAATTAATCTTCAAGTTGAAACACAACGTTCACTGGCCATAAATGAAGAAATGCTTAAGATGCATGTTGGTATTTTAGCCAAACCTCCTCAGAGGTAAATATAGAAATAATTTTATTTTTTTCATGGTTTATTCTGTTATTTGGGGAGCACACAAACACTCCAGGAATGTAGTTTTTAAACCAAAGCTCCTCAGTGGTAAATATAGAAATAATTTTATTTCTATATTTGGTATATATATAGTATATATATATATATATATATAATAAACCAAATAGATATATATATCTCGATACATATGGTTTATTCTGTTATCTGGGGCATGAAAATGGTATTTTAACCAAAGCTCCTCATAGGTAAATATAGAAATAATTTTCTTTTTCTTCGTGGTTTATTCTGTTA